ACATTCCAAGAATTGTAAGTACAAAGTCTTTGGGTTCTGATTTTGCCACTTGCCAGGGTATACTCATACTTACGCAGTGAGTAACGTTAAATGTCAACATTCGATTATATTTGCAGGTAAAATGAATTCCGACTGGAGCATCATAACCTCACCAGTTCTTGAGGCGAAAGATCCTATCGAAAAGCAGCCCATAGCGAAACGGGTTACTAGGAGCCAATCTAAAGCCAGTATGAATGAGGAAGTCATCGATTTAAAAAGAAAAAACTTATCTTCATCAAATGCAAAACCAGAAAAAGGTATGTAGATACCTGACTTAAAATTTCCACCCGAGTAGTGGTTGAGATAACAAAAGAATTGAGAACACCAATTTTTTCTATGTTGTCTGTATTTGTAGATTCTGTAAAATCGAGATTGAGCAGTGCAAGGTCTCAAGAACCAAAGAGGGAATCTGTTATGAAGGAAGAAGAGGAACAAGATTCTACTGAAAAACAGATCAGAAGGAGTAAAGCTAAAGTGAAGACGAATGAGCTAAGTAATAGTGTAGCCCGACGAACATCAAAACGGTTAGCTGGTATTGAGCTTGAGCCAACGCCTGAACTGAAGACAAGAACCAAAGTTCAACGACTAGTACATCCTCATGATGAATCGACGCCTGAATTTAAGACAAGAGCCAAAGCTCAACAAATAATACCTCTTGATGATGAACCGACGCCTGAATTTAAGACAAGAACCAAATCTCAACGAATAATACCTCCTGATGATGGCACAGCCGGAAAGTGCAAGCAACCTGTGAATCCTGTTGCTACCATTGCTACCAGCGGATTGAAAAAGACTATACCCCTCAACAAGGAAGTAGCCAAAAGCTACAATGAACATCCCTCTCAGAAACCATATGCTTCTGCTGCTACAAGCTACTATCGTGTGAGTGCAGAAATGGCAGTGGGAACACAAAATATCGGTAAACCAGTAGGCAGAAAGCCTTCTGTAGACAAGAAGACAATGAAAACGCCAGTGATAGTATATGAACTGAATCCAGTTTTTCATCTTGATGGTTACAAGCAGGAGGAAGAAAGGTCGCCCGTGTCACCGTTGTCTTGCCAAACTTCTGCAACAAAGTGTGAAAAGACAGCAGCAGGCAAAAGATTGGGACGGTCTAGTCCAAAGGCTAAACTTACTACCAGTGTGAAACCAACTCAGATCTCGCCTTTGAGATCATCAAATAAAGGAAAGCAACCGCATCCTTCTGATAGTGGTAATGCTATTCAAACGAGAAATATATTAGGCAACGAGTTATCTAACTCATCTGTTGTTAGAGGCACATGCTCAGAAGTGATGGAGAAGAATACCAACAGCTTCTCGCCCGCATTTGACTCGACTCTTGCAGATCTTTGGAAAGATCCTTGCATCGCCTTTGCTATCAAAACACTGACCGGAGAATCGCTGCGTCTTCCCAACACTCCAGCAATCTCTACTGATCCCATTAACAATCACGCCGAGCAGAAAGGAGTCTCCTTTATCCCAGAGACTCCCAGAAATGTTAACACATGCTCTGAAAAACCGGGATTTCCGAGTACACCCCCGAGTACAGATATCTGGCAAGACCCGTGTATCGACTTTGCTATAAAAACCCTGACAGGCGCAATCCCGATCGGGTTAGATGAACCAGATACGAAGTCAAAGTCACAGGGGATGACAATAACTACAGCAGCAACGCAAGAAGCTAAAGGTAGGCAAAACAACTGTGATTATATGGTTCAACAATGTAACATGAAGAACAAGACTGCTGGTAAACCTGAGGATCTAAGGTTTACACAATCTTTCTCTAAGGACTAACAAGAACAAAATAAAACCTAGTGGTGTAAAGTGTTTTCGTATATTAGGGTTTTTGATAATACCATGGGTATAGTGTTAAGATCCATGTGCAATGCCTTAGCTTTGTTTTCTTTCGGGCCATGTTCTGTTGTAAATACATATGTATTAGTGTTGTGTATCGACAGAATCTGGAAAAACTCATAAAAACTCCTCCTTTAACCACGTCAATGATCTTGTTTCTTCTTTGTAACAATGGTTGCTTCTTAAAGGTAGCTTTTTTTTTTAACTACTACGATCAAATTAGAGAAGATGATGGTGACGTCATCTCAAACGAAAAAAGCCCGCGAAAGATCTCTAATTTTCCGCCAAAAGTTTATATACACACGTATATATAAAGTGAATATATAGATTACGAAGAAAACGGAGGAGAAGAAGATGGAGATTCGAGTGAAGTGTAGATGTGGAGAAGAAGAGTGTAGCGAATGGGCGATTGTAGAACTTCAAGGAGTCGTCGAGACTCAAGCTTCGTTCCAAGGTTCTATTCAGAATCTTGAGATCGGTCGTCTCTGTCACTCTGATTCCTCACAGGTTTTGTTTTTTGATTCAATTCTCTAATCGGAACTGTAATCGTCGGAGATTTCGTTGACCTTTGATGATTTGTTGTTGAACCGGCGCAGGGAACGTACACGTTCACGGTTGGTTACCATGAACTCGCAGGCTCTAAGGTGACTTTGAAGAAGCCATTACTGGTTTTGAAGAAGCTTCAATTTGATGAAGTTTCAGGGAAAGCAACGGAACTTGAAGTTGTTGGGATTATACGAACTAAGATCTTGTTTAAGACCAGACCTAAGCCTCTCATTTCTGGTAAGAATCTCTCTCTCTGTTCTGTTCTTGATTGGTTTATGAAGCTTTTAGCCTTCAAATTCTGAGTCACTACTTCTTCTTTGTTTCAGGAACAAATTGAAACCTCTCTATAGCTTCATATCTCTGTTTGTTTTCATGTCTTTCAAGCGATAAATCTATGTAGCCACTGTTCGTTCTTTTGATTGAGTTTGCAAATCAAGAAACTCGATTACATTATTGGTTTGCAGTAGTACAAAGGGGTAACTAAATGCAATCATGACCACAAAATGTCAATTGAATCATAACATTAGTGAAGATTTACTAGTTCCTACTCATCATGTGGATTTGATGCTGAGCCAAAACAATGCAAAGATTCAGGTCTGTTTTATCTACAAATGTATCCAAAGGAAACTAGATGGTTGGTTGGAGAGTTGAGTTTGCGAGTCCTTTTTTGTGTCTACGAATTTGGCACAGGAGTGTACCCTGCACGGGCTCTTAATGTTTCGGTTCTTTTGCTTCTCTCCATCACGCCGACTAGCCATTCTATACTTTCTTTGATTCCTCGCCTGCTCTCAACAAAACATACGTTTTAATATTTTCTGCTTCAAGTGTGTCTGGCTAAAGTTCGTTTTTACTTACCCATCATATCCAGAAACTGCTTCAAACATGTACACTCTTTCATCCAATTTCTTTAGATCAAGGTATCGGTCCAGTTCCTCAGCGGACACAGCATTTGGGAGGTCCTGCTCATTGGTTACAGATTCAAAGACTATCAGTAACAACATATTTTTGAAGAATTTGAGTGAAACAAATTGAGGCAATACAGATTCCTACTTGCTTGTTTGCCAGAATCAAAAGCGGGGCTCCATGCAAATCCTCATGCCGCAGGGCTTTTTCTGGTGAAGACAATTTATATTTTAGCTGTAACTTCATAATATTGTTTGGAGTCAACTTGTGTGCGCAGACTTACCTAAAGCAGATTTTGAATCTTCAAAGCGGGTTGGGCAAGCTGCATCAATCAAATATATCAACGCGTGTGCTTCTTCGTAGTATTTCTCCCAAATTGACCGCAAACCAGGCTGCCATAAATGGGAAAAGGCACAGTTATTTGATTAGAAAGACTGATCCTTTTTCACAACCAGGATTTGTAAATCAAAACAACCGACAGGAAGAAACAATCTAAACTGGAAAAAAGGCTCACGCATAAACTAAGAGAGGGAAAGAGTTTAAAGGTATCTTCCTTGTATCCTATATTTCTCATATCAACTTACAAGCATATGCTCTTCGGTGGTATATGTGACTTATAGAGCAAAGCCGATTAAAGTCAACTAGGAACACAGAATTAGGTACAATGAAGAGAGATCAATTATATGAGCCAAGGAATTTCCAACTCACCTGACCTCCCAGGTCCCAAAACACAATTTTAGCATTGGAGACTTCAATACGACCAATATTTAGCCCCACAGTAGGAACAATTCGATCATGAGGAAGACCTTCCGAGATTGAGTATATCGTCTTCAATTTCTCCAAAAATGTCTACGATATTGAAGTAAGGCCAAGTATATTAGAGGTGTATACTCAAAACATATCAGATACCGAGGTGATGTTACAAACGAAAAAGATTACAAGGAAAGCATTACCGTCTTCCCAGCTTTATCGATACCAAGAATAAGCACATGAAACTCAGTCTTGCTAAACATGTAACTCCATAGTCCAGACATAAGAGAAAACATAACTTCCTCCTACTTCAGCTTCTTTAATTACTTTGATCTTCCCTTGTCTTTCACATGAACCAAAAACAAGAGTAGAGCTTATTAATTATCATCAGAATCAGTATAACTTTGCTTCCTCATCATACTTTCAGTAACCATAACAGAAGCATCAACAAGTAATTGAATATCACAAGACTCAATGATATGACACATCAAACTACCAAAACCACACAAATCACAAAAGGGTTCCAATTTCCAAACAATCGCAAACCAAAAAGATAGATCTTTGGATAGATAATGGATCAAAGAAAAAACCCATGAATCACTAAGACCTAAGATCCATTCACATTGTGCACATCAGAAGGATCAAAATTAGCCTTAGTGAGCGAAGAAACTAAATCAAAACAAGCTCCCAAAACATGATAAAATCATCAAAAACAGATTCTTTTTGTCCATCGATTCAAAAAAAAGAAAAGAAGATTCCATAAATACTTACAGTCTCTGAAGATCTTGAGAAGAACTAAAGAAAGATCGAAGCTTGTTTTTTTGACACTCCGTCTTCGATTCGATCGTCTTGATCAGAAAAAAAAAGAAAAGAAAAAACTTCTAAAGCGAAATTCCAAAACTACCCTTACTCAAGTCTTCACGCGCTTGATCAAATCAAACGGGTTTGAAGTATCCCACGTGGCGAAATCTGAAAGGTACAGTGGTTAAAAGTCAAACAAACGGACGGTTTCTGTTGCATAACCAAGAAAACAACAGGTCTTAAAAAGTTGCGATCGAGACAAAAAAAAAAAAGTTGCTGGAGATTTTGAAGATGACCGAACCAAAGAGGTAACGAAAATTTTATCGTTTTTGATTGCTTTTCTTTCAGTGAATCTTTGATGATGGTCACAAAAGATCTCTCTTTGATTTTAGTTTTGGATTTTGTAGAACCAAACATAGGCTAGGGTTTCTTACAGTGTGTTTTGGTATATATTCTCAATCTGGGAAAAGGATTGAGGAAAGTGATAAGCTTTTGATATCAATTGGTTCTTTCGGTTAAACCCTTTTTGATTGTTACCATTACTCAGCAAATTTGAGAGATTTTGGATATTTTTGCTTTCTAGATTTTAGGATACTTTAGCTCAATGATCATGACAGAGGTAGATACTGAATCCTGCTTCATTTTCTTAAAAGGTTTTTGATTTTGAGTGATCACTTATACCATTGTGTTCATTTTTTTTGGAAAGTTAGCAGATTGGATTGATTAGTCTGAAGTATCTTTCACTTTTTCGGAATTTTCATTCGCTTGTGTCTATAGTTTCCTCTATTAGAGTTGAGAATGTTTGCTGCATCAGAACGGTACCTTCAATGTGTTTAAATAAGATCATTTCTGAAGTCAATGGACTGTGTTAAGTTTGTGGAGGGATGTATATTCATAGATATAAAGTTCTTTTCTCTTTTCTGGCGGTCTTTTTATGAAGGAAGTGTAAAACAGATCTTTTCTCTACTACACCCATTGAAAAAGGAAATGAAAGAGGGAGGTTTTATTGTGTTAATGTTCATGGATTTTCATATTCCAGCTGAATTGTTAATAACTGTAAGATTCTGTGAACTTTATTGTCTTTAGTTTAAGGCTTAGATATTGCTTTAGTTGTGACCGTTTGTATAATCTAGTATGGTTTCTCTTTTTTGCAACACTAAGGATGTTTGTTTTTATGGCAGGGGGCGTGTTCAATGGGATGAAGCTAATATAGTGGAGATTGAATCTAACAAACCTGTTAGGCAGAAGATTACTGAACCAAAGACACCGTACCACCCGATGATTGATGATGATGGTTTGTCTATCTCTCTTTTATTTGGTTTCTCTTTGTTTATGCACAGAACTTGCGATATACATTTATATGCTTATGACATTTTTGCATTTATTGTTGATACATGTCATCATCTAAACATATAAGTAAAAATAGATAGTATCTCAGACAGATAATTGTAAGTGGAAATTATTTGCTTTTTAATTCATCTAGGAAGTTGGATGATTACTTATGTTTTGGGGGAAAATCTTGTACTTGCAATTGGTTGGTTGATTTCGAAATCTGTCATTCTAGATGTATAAGGTTAACTTGAATCAGTTCTGATCTTTTCTAATCCGTGAAAATAATTTAAACACTTTTGGTGTTACCTGATTGATTGTGCCAGGTTCTCTGTCTCCTAGAGGAAGATCGTTTGATGAATGTGTTGATGATATGCAACGAGCCGAAGAACTGAGGATTGTTCTGAATGATGCAGCAGCTTCTTCCAGTAGAAATAGTAGCCAGGGTTCTGGTGGTGGTGGCTGGAGCTCGTCTGATGAAGAAGAAGCAGATCCTATGGATCAAGATGAAGAAGGTCCTCCTCAAAAACCAAACAAATCTACTGTCATGTTTGGGTTCTTTCGTTAGCTCATCCCGATATATATATTTGTTTTTTGTGCAAAACACAGGTTCTGGAAGTGGGAAAAATGAACGTTTCAACGCACACAGAAAAGCACATTACGACGAGTTTCGGAAGGTGAAGGAACTGAGATCATCAGGGTCATTCTATGAAGAAGAAGAGGAAGAGGATGATGGTGCAAAAGGCAGTAAATCAGAGACAACAACAACCTCACGTCACACTAAAGGCGGAAACAAAGAGTTAGATGCAGCCACAACGGTATCAGGGACGTCATCTTCATCCCCGAGTTAATATAAAAACCTCTCTGTTCAATGAAATGTACTCTGCTCCAGGTTTTTATCTATTTGAATCTTCCAGAAATGTAAGAAGAAGATGAAAAAAAAAAAATCATCAACTGAAATTATGTGATTGTCTTTATAGCATTTTGAATGCAATTTCTTACTGCCACTTTTGTTCTTCCATGTTCTTACATTGTAGCATGTTCTTTCTTTTGTTTTTTTTTTGGGACAAACTAGCACATTGTAGCATGTTCTGTTGGTTGATTATCTCTGTCTCCTGTTTTGTATTCTGGTAGACATAAAAACCGAACCAAACCGGATAGAATTTTGTAATTGTGGTCCAGCTTGCACAATTGAGATGCTGATACATAAGCAGATAAACATAAACAGTCAAAAACTAATTTATTAAACACAACAATGGCGAACGAAAAAGCTCAAGAAATGGCGAATCTATCTTCTCAAATCTGCAACCAAATCTCCTCCGTCTTCACCAAACCAACCTCACCATATCCACCACCACTCGATCTCCTAGTAACAGAACTCGCCGCAATCTCTCGCAACCGCAACAACTCTCGTATCTTCCTCTACGGTGTCGGACGCGAAGGTCTCATGTTAAAAGCCTTCGCGATGCGTCTCTTCCACCTTGGTCTCTCTACTCACTTAGTCTTCGACATGACAACACCACCAATCTCATCTTCCGATCTCCTCATCGCTTCAGCTGGTCCTGGAGGATTCTCAACCGTCGATGCGATTTGTTCTGTAGCTAAATCGAACGGTGCTAAGGTTATACTCATCACTGCGGAGCCTGAGACTGGTTCTTGTGTTGAACATGCGACGGATGTGTGTTATGTACCTGCTCAGACTATGGCGAGTGATAACGGTGGTGATGTAGCGGCGGAGATGGGAGAGAGACCGTTGTTGCCGATGGGAAGTGTATATGAAGGAGCTTTGTTTGTGTTGTTTGAGATGGTTGTTTACAAGTTGGGTGACGTTTTGGGTGAGTCTTCTGAGTCGGTACGTGCTCGTCACACTAATCTTGAGTGACGTATGAATTTTGATTAGCATGTGGTGTTGTTTTGGTGTTTTGGTTGAGAAATAGTTGCTGTTTTTTAGTTTGGGACCTCTCTGTTTTTTTTTTCTAGTTGATTTCTTGCTATAAAATAATATTCCAAGTATATTGAATTTTAATTTTTTACATTTTCCTTTATTTTTAAAGTTTACATATTCTACCCACTTAATTTATGTTTAGAATATCCAATAAAACTATATTATTAAGAATAAATTTCATTACAACACATAAATAGAAGATCAAATGATTAATACATTTTTATTCAAGCATCATTATTTGTGTATTTCCCACTACTGATCAACTAATGCATTTCGAAGTGAGAAAATAAGCTTCTTTGTGTTTGATTTATCATATATCGAACAAAAATATATTTAAAAATGAGTATTTTCATCCTCGATTTAAGGCTGGATCGAAAGATAATTGTATGGTTGATCGAGTGAGTCGATTTGATCCGACTTCAAATCAATAAATTTAAAATTCATACAAAATAGATAAACAATTTTTTATTATTAGCTCATGTTAGCAAATTCATACAAAATTGAGTGGCTACAAATATGAATAGTCTCACTGGCATTAGAAATTTAACAAAAGACGATTTTGAGAATCATTTGCATTTGGCTGAGAAAAAAAAAAGAAAAAAAAAGAATCATTTGCATTTGTTCGTAAAGGCTTCCTAGCAAAGTGCAACACATTTTGCAAGAGGTATGAAGTGAAACCACCACTCTAGCTAAATGTTGTAATGTGAGTCAATTGAGGAAGAATAACCTAAAACGATCTAGATTTCATTAATAATTTTCTTAAAAGCTCTTGGTATCTTTATAGCTTACCTAACTCTTTTTTTTCTGATAATCGAGAATTCATTCTTTAGTCTATTTTGTAATGGTTCTTTATTGTCTAAGAATTTTATATTGTTTGTCATTTCCACTGGCGCATTGATGACCTTTAGAAAGTAATAGCATATTCCTCTTCCTCAACAATTCTTTCTAGATCAGTTATGTGTGATTAATACAGAAATTCCCATCTTGAATAAATTTATTTAGGCGAATTGGACGGAAAAAATGATATTGGGGAGTTGGCTTAGAATTTAAAATAGTAGAGTAAGAAATGAAACAAACTCCAATCTGTGCACCACCTCCTTTCCGTAAACCTGCTTTGATGATCCCACCAAGGAATGTGTTTTCCAACTTACTGAATAAGGAATCAGTGAGTATGCCTATGAATGAAGAAGTTGAACAAAGATAGTTAGCATAAATAGGACTCTAGTAAGCCAAAGTCAAAGCCAAAGTCATGCATTAAAACACACTACTTTGCGTCTACATACACTTATGTAAACCTTATAAAAATTTGTTAACCTAAACAACAATCAATATATATTTTTTTCGAAAAAAAAACAATCAATATATAACACGTTCATAGTCACATTGGTTTCAATGAGTTAATTCTAATTCTCATCATATCAAACCTTGATTCAACTTCGTTTTCAAAATGCTTATATATATATATATATATTTGTTATGATTATCTTGTTGGTTGGAAGAGGATTTTTCTTTCCTTTTATTTTCGCAAAACTAGATATAATTTTTTTGAAAATTTATCAATATTTTGTGTTTTTAAACCATAAATATTAAGTAGTTTGGATTGGATTGTTGAAAATCACGGTTGAATAATACAAAGTGGTGATCAAAAAATGTACAAGATGCATTGGGATGCCACAATGTCTATGTATGTACATATTAGTTTCCCTCTTAGACACTTCTCTATGAATACAAGCTAAACAAAATCTATTTTCATCTCAAATGTATATACAATACATTTTCTAGAATTATTAAAAAATCTAACCCCAAAAAACAAAAAAAAAAACATTAAGAATAGGGCAAAAAAATCTTATCAAATATTGGTATTTAAATAGGGTTTGATCACAATCACAGCTAAGACCATTTAAAAGCCCATCAGTCTAGCCCACTGGGCCTTTGCCAATTAAAAAAAAATTCGAAATCTCGAAAACCAAAACAAACTCTGTTCTTCTATATACATACTTCACATCTTCTTCTACCAGAGAGAGTCGAAGAAACAGAGTGAAAAAAGAGTAAAGAACAATGCTTGAGCTTCTTGGAGCTTACAGGAATCTCACACTTCAAATCCTATTATCTCTCTTCTTAACCCTAATCCTCTCATTCGTCAAAATCTCAATCATCTTCCTCCACGGTCTCTGTACCTATATCCAACCTGAAAATCTCAACCAAAACAACGCCGGAAATGGTCTCCGACCCGCGATTCGACGACCATCTAGTACCGATGATCCAAAGTCCAATGTTGAAGTCAGAAGAAGAAACAGATCCAAAGATAAATCCGAATTCGACGAAAGCAATGCTCAGATCTTTCGAATTAAGCTCGATGAAGATCATCTCAGATCTCGAATGTATTTCACTGAGTACAATTCGATTTTCGTGTTATTGTTCTTAGCTGTTTCTTGCTTTCTTCTTCAGAATTACTTCGGTGTTGAGGATAGTCATGGAGTTTTGGGTAATGGATTGATGTTTCCGATTGTTCTTGGGTTTATAGCTTTGTGTAAGGTGTTCGTTGCTTTGGGGAAGATTTCGATTGAGAGATCTGCTTCGAAGAAATCTGAGAAGAAATTGAGTTTGATTTTTGGTGTTTTAGGGTTTGTGTTTGGGATTATAATCAGTGCTGGTGTTTTTCCTAAAGGATTTGATTTTCATTTGGGTTCTGTTGATGCGTTTTGCTGTATTGTGATATCGTTTTCGATGGCTTGTATTGGTGGATTTCTTTATATGCCTGCTGGAAGAAGTGCAAGGTCGTTTTGGGTTGGGACTGATCAGATTAGGAGTAATTTGTCTATCATTTCTTGTGGATGGTTCGGTAGGATGATTCTCTATGCGAATTATATTGTATCGGTGTTCACTTCTTTGCTTTGGATTCATCCGTTGGCAGAGATTTTAGTGAAGAGAAGTGATAATGCTGGAAGTAGTAGGAGTCACATTGGGTTGGTTGGTAATGTAGGCATGTCGAGTGATGATTTTGTGAAGTTTCGGGTTTTGTGTTTGTTACTGTCGGGTTTACTGCAAGCGATGGCGGTTCGTCCTAACCTTCAGATGTTCTTGAACGAAGCAGTGCTCTCGTGGTACCAGAGATTACATGGAAGCAAAACTCCTGATTTGGAGTTTAGTCGGGCGAAGATGTTCCTTCACAACCATTACTTATGCCTCGTTGCTCTGCAGTTTTTGGCGCCGTCAGTTCTTGTGATTCTTTTCCTCGGCTTGTCTCAGATTGACTTGAGCTCTTTTGCTGTATCGCAACTGGTATGTGGTTCTTTGCCTTGTAGCGATTTCATTAAACAAGTCGGTTTGTTGATGTCTTGGTGGGTACTCTTTGTTTGGTCGGGTTTTGCTTCAGCGAGTCTTGTTTTCTATCGTCGGGGTGTCTTGTATGTTTCTTGAGAAGTCTGTAGCTTTTTCCCAACATTGTTTTATGTATCAGTGGAAAATGGCAAAAACACAACAACAAATCAGTTTTGCAAAATGTAAACTTTGGTCCATTTGTTTGTTTGTTCTCTTGGCTACTCAACTCTCAAATTTTCCTACATTCTCACAAAATATTTTCCTACTCGGTCTCTCCTACACTCTCACAAAATGTTTCAGACAGAGAAACAAGATTAGGTCCTAGAAATTTAGCTAAGCAGGTATACGAAGAGCAGCTCTGATCTTGTGAATGGTGCAAGCGATGAGGTTGTTAACAGTTTCAACAGATTCCACGTTGAGTTTTGCTGTCGGTAGGCTGTTCACTAAGATCTGAAATCCTACAGTCAAGAGACATCCTTTGCTTTCATGATTCACCAAACCTCCATCGGTATCGAACTGATCAGACGATGATGATGATCCATCAGGCAATATCGAGAACCCTGATGGAAGAAGCGCCACATAAGCTGAATCTCCACCGCTCATAACAACATTCATAGATGGGATATCGACAGGCGCATATACCACTAGTGCACCAGAAGCGTCATTCCATGTCTCTTGCAAGATGAGCATACTACTCTCATTTTGATCCTTCCCCTGCAAATTGGTCTAATCAGTAACCAAGAACAGAGATCTATTTAGAATTCCATGAATAGATTATAAACTCACAGCAGCACGAAGAAGAGAGACGCAGCTTCCTTCCCGTTGTCCTTTTGGGACGAGAAGCGTGTTTTCCATTGAAGCACCATTAGACAAAATATCCCACTGGTTTCTGCATTTACCATCACACAGAAACTCAAAGAGTCTCTGCTGAGTCACTGGTAGCCACAGAGATGTTGCGGCGCTCAGGACAATACCAGACGGCTCAAGGCTCTTCCTTGTCAGTATCCTCATGTCCTGTCCCACGTTCTCAGCAAGAAGCTTCTCCCATTTGTGAATGCACGAAGCAGTTATGCCCGAGTAAAAGTTGAGCTTCATACGCTGAGCAAGCTTTAGTATACTCTTAGTTCCAGCAAGTGACAAACCTATCGAAAGATTCTTGTATGATTTCTCTCTTTCAAATTGCAACATTTCAAGATTCAAATGCAGAGAGAAAAGAAAGAGAACGAGACAACACCTGTGTGATCTTGAGAAGACAATAGGGTCGTGAAGCTTTCGCATTGTCTCTGTAGAGTCGCAAGCCATTTGGTTGCGCCTAACCCAACCGAAGAACTGAGCAACGGTTGGTAAAGCGAGTGTACGTGACTCTCTTCATACTCTGAATGTTCTATCCATGTCACCTGTTGAAAGTCTATGTGTTAAAACCAAAATATGGGACATTGAGTGAATATAGTAATAACTATGTAAAACCCATTTTACTAAGAAATGTTACATAGCGATTCCTCTAATCCAGTATAAACAAAACAAGATATTTTTTGTATAAATTATATATTATAGCCTAGAACTAGCTCAGACAAGAAGCAAGCTCTACCTTGAAAAGTGAACCCTTTGATATGAGTTAATATGTATTAACAAAGAAATAGAAGAATCTTTTATAGTTTTATACAAAAAGGCTTCAGGTTCTCAGGCTAATTGTCGACTCCTTTGTAATTAGTTTACAAGACTGACCAAACTCTTCACTATAAACAATTCAATAAAACCTCACGCAGATCCAAGACATTAAAAATTGACAAGTTACCTTGGAGCAACCATTGCCTATGTCTTGTATGATGCAGCCTGAAGGAAACTTCTTAGAGCAACCATACGACTTCAAGTACTCATTTTCTCTGTTTATATCATAACAAACATCGACCACCGCCCACAAACCATCTCCATGTTGCTTGCAGTATCTAAGAAACTTCTTTTGTTTGATTGGAACTAATGGAGACATCACTTGAAACTCTGCTTGCATCTGTCCCAAACAAATGATCATTGAATTAGCAAATGTGGTCAAAATATATAAATCTTTATGGTTCTTGTGCAACATACCAATTGAAGAGAGCCGCTTCTTGATCCATCAGTACCGTTGGATATCACTTCAACGGTTGATGCAACCGCGACAATACATTCAAACATTTCTGCCCATTTGTTCTGTTAAAATCCAAAAGAAAAGATGAGATGCTAATTAGTGAGTGTGTGTATAGATAAAATACCGGTTCTTAGAGAGTAGACAAGCTTCTCATACCGTGTCCATAAGTGTCTCTACTAGAGCCAAGCTATTGATGAGAACTAAACCAGTTTCTCTTGAACCTGCAAGATGGTTCATCGCTTCTTTCTCAATCTTTGCGCTCCATAAAAGATTGTCCACTTCTGTTAACTTCAACAACTCATCCATAGCCTCCATGGCAAGATCCATAAACATCAGTGAAGTTCCACCCCTGACACTATGTCCTATAGGCAAATGCTGTGAGCCAATCCCACCATTTGAAGGCTGCTCAAGTGAAATAGACCCACCAATGAATCTGTTTGCTAAAGCACAAATCCTATCAAGCTCGTCCTTAAGCTTAGCGTTCTCAATCCTAAGTTGGTGCTGCTCAAATGAAACTTCACCAGGTATAACTGCTCCACCACAATCAATACACAGAGAACCTCTCATTGACTCTTTAAGGAAACTATTTTCGAGCCGCAGTTTTTCATTCTCTTGTTTGAGAATCACATTCTCATGCCGCTCTAGTTGCGTCTGGTCAATGTAAAAACCACAACATTCCCTTAAAAATCATAACTTTACTATCAAAATCATAACTTTTCAGATAAAGTACCTTCATTTGTGTTCTTCTATTCTGAAACCAAAACTTGATTTGCTTACTTTCCAAAGTAAGTTTTTTTCCAAGTTCCAACCTTTGCTTCTCATTAGGATGAGGACACTCTTTAAAGAAACTGCAATCACAAAATAGCAAATATATATAAATCAAAAACCATTTGATGAATATGAAAAAGTTAGATATTCTTGAAAACAGAAACTTCTTACGATTCGAGTTCTTGAATCTGGTAAGAAGTGTGCCTATGATACTTTGTCTTCCTCTTCTTCTTCTTAGGACGTTGTTCTTGTTTATCCTCATCACCAGACAATGCATCGAAGCTATCATCACTCAATGATCTACTCTCAAACTCATCATCTTTAAGCTTTCCAAGAAAATAACTTGCATTGAAATCTCCTCTAGACATATCAACATCAAGATCACCATTCATTTTCTCTTTCTGCAACAAAGACCAGACAAGAATCTAAGTTATACTGTAAAAACAGAACAAAAAAAAGAAAGACACCAATGGACAGAAGAAAATAATGCAAGACTCAACATATTTGTATTGTCACTGTTTCTACTCTTCTCAGTGTTTACTTTGCTTGTTCATCAAGTTTCATACCTTTCAATCAAATCAGAAAATCTTCTGACGACCAAATGAGATACTTCTTTACTCTATCGTACGAGTGAGATCAGCAAATGAAAGAGAAAAGATATTTCCTTTGTTATATCATATGACTTGTCCCCTTTAAGTTTTTTTTTTTTTTACTCAAAGGGCCCCAAAAACTCAACTTGTACCTTTGACCTTTTAATCTAATTTCTTCGAAGAATATATTAGAAAGGTGAAAAAAACAAAAACGAAACCCTAGTTTTACTCGGACCAAAAAACAAAAAAGCTTCGATTTTGACCAAATGGGTTTCTTCTTTTGTCATTTTCCCTCAAAGATTTTGACAAATTAGATAGAAAGAATAAAACAAAAGCAGCAACTTTTTCTAACCGAGAAAAACAAGCATTGAGCTAAAAAGCCTAAAAGATCTACACTTTGACTCTTCATCAATTTCAATTATTTTAACTATGGGTAAACTCTAACATAAAATATAAAAATACAAAACTTTTGTAGATCTATAAAATTCGTGTTTACAATTTAAAATTTGTAACCAATGTAAAAGAGTCTACTATATAATTTTTTTTAATGTTAACTAAATAAAGACAGAGAGAGATGAGCGTGTGGCCCGAGCTCGTGAATCGTGATGTCCGCCGAGCGTTTCAACCTCCACACGCTTTGAGGTAGACTATTAGGGATGTTTTGGTCATTTTGTCGCTGTCTGTGGATTTAATTTTTAATTTTACAATTTTCTTGGCAATTCTTGGAGAATAATTGAGATGACAAAACCTCTAATTCGACATATTAATAATATAGATAATACATTTTTTTATTTATTTTCATTTTTTCTTACAGTTACCCCTGATTTTTAAATTATCAAACGAATTTATTAAGAACCAAAAGGTTCATTTGGTCATACGAATAACCAATTAATTAAACATGCACACTTTTGAAATGAGTGATTTGTGATATATTGCATGTATACAAATTATAAATTGATGATATAACTCAAATCATTTATAATTTCAGTTCAGTATTATTCACTTTTATTCGAAATCCATTGGTTTTACAATGACGAAAAACAACAACTCAAACTTTGAGTTTTTTTTATTCTTAGATATCCATCTCCTTTATTTCCATCCATGCTTCTCCTGTTCAATACAAAAAAAAAGAAGAAGAAGAGATTTTTAGATACTACACATATAAAACTATGAATGCGTTTTAAAGGCTAATACGTTATATGGCATGTTCTTACAAAGATGTAGCGTCTAGAATTTAAATGGGAGGATCCATATCAACTGCATGAAAGTGTAGGGATGTTGCAACGAGAGGGAAGCCTAGAGGCAATGCGAAACGTGTTGCAAAGGCATTCACTTGGCACTGCCTCGAGAGCATTGCAACACTCAGCACTCGGATTGGTCCTGTCAGCTCCGGGAACCACAAACTCACCACACACGTTCAGTCCACTCAGCTGTGCATTGCAGCTCTGTCCATCCACCACCGTTGCTGCTACCACCAGGACCAGCGCCACCATCACTACCACCTTCATGAATGACTTGGAAGAGTTGGACGAAGCTGCCATCTTCTTCTTTCTTTATCTTTATGTGATAAGAAAATATGATTTTGAGAATGTGGAGTGTTTGTTTGATTTATTTAAGTGTTTAGGGTTTTGTTGTTGTTTATATAGAGTGGAGGAGGATTGGATTTATGGTGAAGAGGGTTTAGGTTCGTCATTTGTGAGCTACCTAACGATAGAGATCACGTTAAGCTGCATGCTTGTGATTCCTTAATGTTTATTGAAATATTAATTTATATACATGGATATACATATGGTTAAACGGATGAAATAATTTATATACTTTAAGAAAATGTAATTCTGTGGAAATACTGTATGTATATTTTTTTGTGTGGGAGCAAGAGAATATGCATGCTTGTGATTCCTTAATGTTTATTGAAATATTAATTTATATACATGGATATACATATGGTTAAACGGATGAAATAATTTATATACTTTAAGAAAATGTAATTCTGTGGAAATACTGTATGTATATTTTTTTTTCATGTTAATTTATATTTATGTGTATATATGATAAATGGAGATCAGACTAGTTGATTTTTCTGAATGCGATTAAGTAGTTGCTTGCTAGCTAGAAGAGGAGCAGTGGTGGTGAAATTGCAAATTGAGTCAGTCCATAATTTGTAGATTATACCATTACCATTGCAATGAGAAGCATATCTTTTACTTGGTTTCTAGATGAGAAAGCAAGGAAAAAGTCAGTGATCAGAGGAGATCTAATTAATGGGATTCATCTTTATTTTTTCTAAACTAAAAGTGATGAAAGATATAACTTATCCACTAAAATCATAACATTCTTCTTTAAAAACAAATTTATTTGAGAGAGAAAATTTTAAAAGGTATCAATATATTTTTCTTTCAATATATTATCTATATATGAAATTATTATGTTTACTATATATACACATATTCAATTAAGAAAATTAATTTTCTCTGGATTTTAAAGCATAAATATAATACATATAAGATTTTGATATGATGTGATATCCATCTATAGTATCATCACAATTTATTATTTACACAAATTAAACATGTGTTATATATGAAAACTTTTAAGTTGATATAATCTATGTTAGATATAACGATTACCTAAAATAGCTCGCAAGAAAAAGCTTAAATATGTTTATTATAAATAAATTGTTGGGAGATGACAAAGATCAAGGGTGGGAGTAGTCCTTTTATATTGATCAAAAGAAACTTAGTCTCTTGGCCATCTTCAAAGTAAATCAATGTTTCGCGGTCCTGCTAACTTTCATGGGTGTCAAACTTGTATAGGTAAATTATACATCAAAAGATATCTGAATCAATTATGAATTATGATGTGCTTCAATCGAACTATATACATGTTAGTTAGGACCAAAGCCTGAAACATATGCTGGTTTGATCCTGTAAGAAATAAAGCTCTGGTTTATATTTTAAGCTCGAAAGGGACTTTTAGACTAAAGGTTTTTCAAGCTTAACTTTGACAGTACTTGACAGGGTTCGGTTTGAGAAAAAAATTCCAAGCATAAAGTAAAGTTGATTGAAAAAAATCAATTAACTACGTTTAGTGTACGTTTTTTACTACATGTATATTTTAAAAATTTTATTAATAATGATTTCTTACATTTTATTTCTTATATAATATGATTTCAAAACGTATAAAAAATAAAATGTAAAAAATCATGAGATAAGAGTGTTTTTATGTAGTTTGTTATTAAAAATTGTTTAAATAATTGCTTAACTTACTTTTGTTTTTAAAATGTGAATTGAAAACACATTGTCAATAAACTTCAAACATATTTTCTCATGACTTAATATAACGATACCAAAATGTTGTATCACTAATGCTGATGCTTTTTTTCTTTTCACTTTAACCTATAGTAAATTCTTCGTACCTTCGTCGTCCATGTTGTTGTCAGTCGCAGTCGCAATTTCGTTGTCCGTACTGTTCTTGTCCGTTCTTTCACCTACATGATGTTCAATCGGTAACTATAATGACTACTATAGTTGTTATATTCATTTATAAGTTCTAAAAAGAAACATACATTCTTCATGTATAATTTGATAACTAATTTGTCGAGAATTTGTTTTGCTTTCTTACTAAATATTAGACGAGTGGAAGGTTTTACGGCTATAATAACTATGACAATAGCTCCCCGGACCAGTATACACTTAGACGTAGTTCCTCAGATATCTCATTACATAGTTTTTACAATGAGGTATGTACTCTGTCAACTTAATGCATACACAATATTAAGACTTCTCTAACAATAGAACATGTATATTATCGATACTCATTAGCACTATTATGAACAAGCAGGGTTTGGATGAGGTAGAAGCATCAGTGGGAGACGACAGTAGAGGCTTACCGGAATGGAAAATATCCAAATTACGAACTCATAAATATGGGAAAAAACCCAATTTCAGGTGGTGGTGGCAAAAGAAAAAGAAGTTTGTTGCTGATGATTCTCAGTACGATCATATCACTAATTATCTTTTTGGTCCTCATTTGTATTTAAAATCCAATGTGTCTATTATTATACCAAAATCCAATGTGTCTATTGTAGGTGTACGATATGCCTAGTCGACTATGAGAAGGGAGATAAGATAATGACTTTGCCATGTAATCATATCTACCACAAGGATTGCATTTTGCATTGGTTCAAAGAAAACAGGGTATTACATAAAGATTGTCTTTGTTATATCAAGAACTAACTTTGATCACTCTGTGAATAATATGTAGCTACGATGATAGATATACACAAAAGGCAATTATTGTTTGCGATCGACATGCAGAAAAAAAAATATCTCATTTAAGTACTCTAATGAAAATGACATTGTCTTGTATTTGCAGGTATGCTGCGTGTGCAAACGAGAGGTTTATTAATATATTAATACTAATTCTCGTCGGAAAATAATGATTTATTTACAATGTAATTTGGTCGTGGTAAATTCATTAGATATTGTATTAACTATATGAGTTTTTTCATCCTTTGTGAATATTTATTATTTTAAGTGTTATCTGCGCCAGGTGCTAAAATTAAATTTTATCAAAAAAACGAAATAATTGCTGAAGATATATAATATTGATGTAATTTAATAAGAACAAGTTTTATGTACATAAAATTTGTATACAGAGTTGAAAAGTAAAATTTTTGTAACTCAAGATCAAAAATTAAGTTTATAATTTTAGGTGTTATTTTTTGTAACACGCAACATTATTCGTTAGGAACCCTCTCTCGTTGAACGGACTACTTCATTGGTGATGACCTTCATATAAGTAAAGTTTAGGCAATAGTTAAAACAATTTGGGTTTCTAAAAAAAAAGTCTTCGAGTATTGAGAAATAATTTTATTTGATTTTTTGAATCTATATAGATAAATAAATTTAATAAGATATAATGTTGTCTTGCCTTAGTTTAATAAGATATAAATTATTTTTTCGAATCTCTTTATCTTCCAACTAAATTTGGACATCTAATACAATTGGATAAAAAAAATCTACAATTGGACAATTTAAATTTGATGCTTTTAGTTATTTTTTGTTTTAACTATACACATATCACAATCTAATTAGTCATAATTATTTTAATCTTTTAAATAATTTCTTCTAACTTTAGATAGTATATCATTTTCCAATATTATATGGCATAATATATTTTTAACCTTATCCTTAATTATCTATTTCAATGAAATTTATAGTAATTATTTTAATGGTTTTACATGTGTTGTAATCTATTTAATTCTAAAAATCACTATCTGTCATTTTATTTACCAACTGTGATCATTAACCAACTTTATAGGAAAAAAAAAAGTTAAAACCTTTTGAAATCACTAAATACCAAAATAATTGTCAGGAAATCTATGTATATTTATTAAAAGATTTGAGAATAGATTTTAATAAATGAGAAAGATAGTGGTATGAATGATTCAATGCATATATAATATTGGATCAAAGAGATTAGAGATAAATTACCTTCTGTCATTCTAAAAATCAACAAAACCAATGTCTCAATCCCTAAATCAGGCGGCCATTGATGAAGCAATTGCACTAGGAATAGATTTGCAGTTTGATGATTTATACCTAACGATTAACGACCCGAATGATATCGCATTGAAAATCAAACAAAAGGAAGGTAAATCAATTATAAAGTTTCTGTAAAATATATCCACATATCTTTATGGGCTTATTGTTGTATGAATTATGTTTTATAAAATCATTAATTACTCCTTTTTATATATTTTATTATATTAAAATTAAATATTGGATTTATTTATTAGTATAAAGTATAATCATCTGCATTGTATCGAATTGTTTGAACAGAAGGGCTTTCCATACAAGCTGATGAAGAATATGCAAAAATGTTGCAATTACAGGAAGATGAAGAATTGGCAAAAAATTTGCATGCCATGGAAGGTGATATTTGTATGTCTCTATATATATATAATCATAGCATTATGTAGGGTTTTACCATTACATTTTTTTTTGTTGCAAATAAAGAAAAGTAATGTAAAAGAAGCACATGATTGGACTTTAATTTTCGACAACTAAAAAAAAAAGATTGGACTTAAATATGCAAAAGATTTTTTCATGGCTTTGCAGTAATTTTTATATATTACAAATACTAACGTTCTTTATATTTTCTGTTTTCCTCAATTTGTAGAAAACCCTCCAAACATTCCTCATCCCGATGTTCCTTCGGTAATTCCAACTCTATTCATAGATAAATAGATTGTTGCATGTCTTTTTTTTTTTCTTTAATCAAATATGTGATTTTATTTCTACTATACGTACACTCAATTCTTTTTTGCTATTAGAGAATATACATCGCGGTTTTATATACACATAGTTCTATCTTTTCAGAAATTTAAGAATTGACATACACAAGTTGTTCATGTAAATTGATTATATTTGGCAAACCAATTGCTTTGAATTAAATTTCAGACTAGTAGAGGAACTAGTGGCCTTAACGATGGTGAGAGGCCTCAGGATCAGCCTACCCTTGTTGTTAATCCCATAAATTCAGAATCAAATAATTTACCTAATCAAACTGCTATTGAGAACAACAATCCCGAAAATGGGTTAGGAGAATCAA